GACGTCAATCGCATCAAAGGATCAAAGGCGAGTGGCAACTGCGATGGAGGTCCCGTAACGCCTCTGTACGTAGCTGTGCGAAACAACTACACATTCGCCGCCGAGATTCTTCTGGGAGCGCAGGCAGATCCCAACATCCCCTGCGATGATGGAGCCTACTTTCCAATCAATTCAGTTTCCAGTTTGGAGATTTTGGAGCTGCTATTGGCAGCAAATGCAGATGTGGATGCCGTCAGTCGTGCAGGAAATGGGGACACAGCGCTTCACGAGGCATTTTCGGTTGGTCGCGGATTTGAGGACCAAAACATGTTTGCTCGTGCTCTGCTAATGGCCGGCGCGTCCCCTAACATCCCTGCGCTAGCGTCCGGTGACACTGCCCTGCACGCTGCTTCGAGGGTTGGAAATTTGGAAGGTGTGAAGCTGCTGCTGGATGTTGGGGGGGACCCTGCTTTCCGCAACAATGACGGCTTGGCACCTTCAGACGTAGTGTGCAGCGCAGTGGCCGACGAAGGGAGCAGCTGCGAAGGCGATGAAATTGAGGATCTTCTCACATCCAAACAGGTGGGCAGGGGCTCCATTGAATTCGTTGTATTGCCGCGAATGTCTAGCCTACGCCCTTTTGTCGCAAGATTTGGTGGGTTTCAAAGTGCTGAACACCGTCTATTGAAATTTGGAATCGCCATGAAAAAAATTGAGTTTGGAGTGAATCGTCTGATATTGAACTATTACTGAGGGCGGTTTCACCATTGATTGATGACTGGCGAACGGCCAAACGACCAAGTACATTAGCAGTACTTTGCTGCCAGTAAACTATTGGAGATTTGTTGCAGTTATTCGTTGCAGCAAATTCAAGAGAGGGAAATAAATCTGTCGTGGTGTCGGCATCACTTCTTAGCGGCGTGTTCGCATCAGATGACGGCGACGCGGCTGGAATCTGCATGGTTGAATACCAGTTCTCAAAACAGCGCGGCAGACACACATTCCCAATGAGTAACGCAAATGGAAGGGGGCATGTATCGAAGGGGCTGAAGGAAAGTCCATGCACATGAACCTCTTGTCCGGCCCATGACTTAATGCATTAGAAAGTACAACAGTGCTGACCAGGCAAGGACAAAACAAAGCAATTATTCATATATAAGTTATAACCTATAACAAAGTTGTAACTTCAGCTATGACTAACGTTGATACTCAGGCTGGAATCTGGCAATGTAACCCAACTCTGTGATGCCAGATTTCCCAATCATAAAATCAACTTTACAAAGAAAGGTGTCATTGGTCTTATTTAGGCATCGAATATTCCTTGGCGTGGCAAAGTTTTGGCGCTGCGTCAATGATTCAGGGGCAGCAACCACCCCGATCTATTGAGAGAATACTTATTTCGCGTCTTTCGTTGCTCCCAAACACTGGTAAAAAATCGGCCAAAGTACACGGTCATGAAATTCGTGTACCGTGTTATGCGTGTCAAAATGGTGTAAAAATCGTGTGAACATCGTGTACCGATCGTGTAAATACGCATTTGCCGCTGGTACACTGTTGAAATCGTGTAAAACCGTGTGCTTTGTCGTGTTGTCCATGGTGGTAAGGTGGACCACTTTCGTGTACTACACAGGGTTGAAAACTACATGATTTTAGCAATCGTGTAAAAACGTGCTCTGAACCACCCGATTTGTACACGATTTTAACACGATTTTGTACAATTTTACACCGTGTAAAATGTTCGAACTTTTACCAGTGAAAGCTGGCTGCCTAACTCGCGTTGGCGCTCTCTCAAACCAGAGTTGCTATTGATTACTGGTCACTGTGCACATCATACTTGTATGCAACTAATTACGAGATTCAGGCTGTTGAAGCCATCAAAGTTGCTGATGCTCGAGGGTGGTGAAAATCGGGGGGCTGAATGCCACAGGCAGATGAAACGGACGCCCCCGCTGCCGTGGATTGCGAGAACACCGAAGACGCCGCAGAAAAGCTGATGTGCGCCCTGCAGGGCAGCAGCGGCAACGACACTGGAGATGGCACAGGGGCGGGCTGACTTGGTTTCGGAGCGGTTTCTTGCAGTTCCACTGGGAGATGGTGAGCCCAGTGGTACATTTGACACCCGGATCATGCAGATGCTCTACCCCACCATAATTCATCCGCGGACATCGACAATTTGCAGATTTGAACACGGCTCCACTATACCACATAAGCTGACCTGGTATTAAAACGTTGCATCAAAAATGCGTGGATAGATAGCGATTATCAGTTCATTCATTTCTAGTACGAAAAAGGACGGGAACTGTTATGGAGATGGTGTTTAATTTTCGCAGTGCAAAGTTGACGATCTTGGAACCAAACGGTTCTGATGTTGTATCTAAAAAGGACTGGCACTTATGCTTCCGAAATCGGCGTGTATTCTGATACGGTTGCAACTTAAATGTGAGGAGACCTTGTCCTACAAACATGCTTCAGGTTGTGTTGCTCATCTATTTGTCCAATTGAAATGGTTGCACACCGATATCAGAAATATCACATCGATGTGTACAGCTGCCTTGTGTGTCATTCGCTCAGCGTGCCGCCCACCTTCATTTTCATTTTCTTCAATCCATCTCAGCGATCCTCACCAATTGCCGACACAAAAGACCCCCGAACAGCAGCCATTGGCCGCGTTGCCTCATCCAGCTGCCTCAATGCAGCCGACAACGACTTGAGCCGTGGCGATGGGAGTGACGGCATTTCCAGCGCAACTCCCACTGCATTACCATTGCGTTAATGTCATTCATGCGGCAATATTGCAATAACTGCAACACCAATGCAGTCAACGCAACACTAACGCAACAAATACAACAGTACTGCAATTAGAGTCGCATTATTGCAAGCTTCTAGTGGGGTGCAGCACACGACATTAGTGCAACCTTGTGCAGCATCAGTGAAGCAGTGTGCAAAATTAAAGCAGATATTCGTACCGGGTCAGTGCCCGCCCCAGCGGGCGTCCGCGGCTCGACGGGGACCTGCGGAATGTGTATTAATATATTCCATATATGGAATTTTCGGATGGGTGCCCCTTTCGGCGACGATGTATACGGTGATCCCCTTTGCGGGAGATCCCTTTCGCTGCGTGCACGGACATTCGGGCGGTCGGCGTGTTCTCACCACGTCTGGATCGTCGTGCTTGCCACGAGGAGGGGTTGTGGTATCGGACGTGGGGTCCCCCGCACATGTGTCCTGAACATGTGTGATACGGTACTGACGTGCTGCGCTGAACCGAACGCTCTCGCTGCCCAACGCGTTTCTCGCTGAACGCTGAGGATGGTTAGTCCAACGAGCCTACGCTCAGCACTATCCGGCGCTCGTCTCTCTTACGGCTTCTCCTTTCCTCCTTGCCCCTCCTTGCGCTTGGACATGTCTAGTTCATCCTTTCTAAGGCGGATGTTATCTGAAGGGCCCTTCTGAGGATGGAGATGCCGCAGTGTGTGGCATGACATCCCTCCCTTTGTACACATCGTCCATTGAGAGTTCTGGGTGAAAACTATGATAAAACGTGAAAGAAATTATCGAATCTGTTTGTGGAAGACCCAAGGGCCCTGTTTTATCCTCCGGGGGCAAAAAGATCATAAGTAATGTCATGAACAAGAGGAGCATGTCCTGGTGCCTCCATGCCATGCCACTGTCAAGAAGGACACCGTGTGCCCCAAAGGTGTGCGTGGCTGAACTTGAGTTGAATGCACATAGAAAGGCAGCATGAGAGTGTCAATGCTTAGAGTGTGATCAGGCTTATTGTCCCTCACGTTTTGAGGCCTCGACGTAGAAAATGCCATCTTCTACCTTGAGGCCCTAGCCTTAAGGCGCAGCCAAAGGTGTCCAGTGAAAGAAACATCAACGCAATGGCAAAATCGAGATGGATGCAACCTGAGTATGGCCTAGGTAGAGCCCAATTCCGTCAATGGTCCTGAATTGAGGGCCATTGACGGAATTGGGCTCTACCCAGGCCATATTCAGGTTGCATTCATCTGGAGTCTACCATTGCATTTGCATGTATCGCAGTTCATGATTTCTGAAAGCCAAACACTCAACTGCCACATGACATGCAAAGGTATCGGTGTTTCTTACGCATATTTGCAGTACATAAGTTGAATCAGCAGAGCTCTCCAAGACTAACATAGACATTTGGGGCAACCCTTAAGGATACGGGTGCCATTAATTCTTGATAGTGACTACATTTCCAAGACAAGCCAATGCTCTTACAGGCTTCTCACGATTTTGGGCAGTGACAGCACAAACGTTACATCAGTGGGCAGATGTTGTGCTATGCGCAGCCCAGCGTTTCCCTTCTTGTTACAAACTTATCTCCCACTGAACGTTGGGTGCAGCTCCTGACCAGCACCTATTCATCTGTCCGTTTCCGCTAAGGAGATGTCACTACATTGGCAGACGCAGAGATCCGCATAGCGCTGCCACAGACCTCAAATTCACTGCTGGAAAAGACTATTGCAGATCAACTTGCTGGTGAAATGAAATACGATGAACATGTTGGTGTTGCTGTGTTGCATTTTCAGGCCCTCTGGAGTGCAGCCATACGAGGCTCCCTTCGGGACATTTAAAATACATGGAGATGAACGGGGACCCCAATTCGTATTGGACATCTGCGGGCGATAATTTACCTAAAGGAGCGATTATTCAAAATATTGTGCGCACTTATACTAAAACAAATGTCCCGTTTGCTGTGCTTTAGTTCTAGGAAAATCTGATGCAGTGCTGTTCACTTGTTGTTTGTGCTTATTGTATCATCTCACAAGGTCAGGGCACGATCACTTCGATGGGCTTTGGGAGGGCACCCCCAAAACGTACAGCCGGAGTAAACAACTCTGCTTCTGTCGTTGGAAAAAAATGTGCCGAAGAAGGGCTTCAGCAGAGAAGCCTAGGGCGCATTGACAGATGTCATCAGAGCCGCTGGACGTCGATATTTGAACGATGTCAACTCGGAACCGACCGCTATGTATGCATAGCCAACTTCCGGCATGGCAGCGCGCACTGGCCGCTTGTCCTTGCGTCGCTCCAGTCATTTCATTGGATATTTAAATGCCCAAGCAGATTCGTTTGCTTGAAGCTCTATTGAACGTTTTTGGCAATTTGTTGTTGCCTTGCAGGGCAGGGAGATCCTGCTCCACTAGGAAAGAAAGGGCCAAATAACACTTTTTCGAACACACATAAAACACATTTTATCATAATTTTACACGCCAAGAACACAAAAGTAACACAAACCCGTAAACTTCGTACACGTTTGAACACGTGTTATTTGGCCCTTTTTTTCCTAGTGCTCTGGGTATTTCCATGTCCACTGATATCAGCCTTGACCACAGTCGATCTGTGCAAGTGTTGAATTGAATGAATGACTTTCCACAAGGTTTGAACGCGCTAATGTGACTGTCAGCTGTGACACGGCAAAGCCGCATCTGCAGTTCTCGCATTCACTTGCGCAGATCCCGTGGCCTCTGCTGAAGAACTCAAGAGGGCGTTCCATGGCGAGGAAGGAGCCAAAAGCGTCTCAGCATCTGGTTAGATGTGTGGAAGTCGAATTGGCCGGAGTTTAACCTGATAGGCTCAGTGACACTTCCTTGCACTGAATCACCAATTTGCGGCAGATATCAGGGATTGGGGATGTAAATCCTGGTAGTTACTGTGAGTTTAGTTTTACGAATTGTAATGGACGCCGCTTGTATGAGCTAGCAACGCGATGCCCGAGGCAGGCGTTTAACGAATGGTCGTGTGCTTGCAGGCTAACCGGAAGTGGTCCTGGCCATTATTGCAGAGATGGCGGGCAGTACATCAGTGCATATTGTCGAGGTTGTGAAGTGCGCATGCTTCACATAGCAGCGAAATTGCACAACATTTGTCTGCGCCGTGGTGGCGCGATTGTGTGTATGATTGTGTGGAGTTCTGTTGAGGGCGTTGGCCATTCTGCAGCAAGTTGTTCATATTCTACGCACTTGTACATACTTCCCCCGTGCAAGATTAATTGTCGCCTTTGATTTTGTGGCGTTACTTCTCCATCCTATCTACATTTTTTTAAATCAAATTTCACCCAAAAATTGATATTGCGAGATTGGAGTATGCTTTCAAATTTCAGATCCATCCATTGAATATTGAGGACTTGCTAGTTCTTTGCAGCAAAGGGTCTCTAGCCAGAAAACGGCCTTTTTTCGCTGTTTTGAGGAGCACACATTTGCGGCAGCAAAAGAAAGCCCCGCATGCAAATTTATGCGCGACGTCCAGAGCGAAGGTCGCCGCAGTGCTTGCAAAGTGGTACGGCGATAGAGGACACGTTTCGAAACGGCTGATCGCCAAACTCGACCTGGCTTCCTGCTTGAATTTCAAGCTCGATCCAGTGGGTCGGAGCTATGGTCCGGGCCCAGAACTCTGGGCCAGGACTTTGTGGTCCCCACCGCCGCCACTAGGGTAGCTGCAGGAGGTCCCCCAATCTTCTCGACAAGGCGCAATACAAGGTGATGGCCATTACCCCAATCAATGGCGCATAAGCTGTGAATTGGCCATTCTTGCAATAATCGCCAATTGATCTTGTTTCGGCGCTTGAAGGATTGGTTGCTAGGACAACAACAAGCTATAAGGTTAAATCGTGTCCTGCAAAGCAATCGAGACTCATTGGGCTATGATAGATTGTGCATCGGGCGCAGGAATTGGCCGCCAGGGGCAGTTTGTAGATTCTGGGTTGACTTTCCCACGAAAGCCTCGATGCAGTCATCAATCGAGGCGGAGCGTCCAAGCAATTCTACAAAGCAACTTTGGGGAGATAGCCCGCGCTCAACCCAGGCTTCAAGGTCCTGGACCTTGGCCTTTTTCGATCAGTAAAGGTCCGCGCATGGGAGACAGAGAACATCGCAGATTTCAAGCATCTTCGTTGGCCTGTCAATGGCCAACCTAAGGAAGGATCCAAACGTCGTTGAGTGGGTTTGGCAAGAGCTGCGCCCGTACAGGATGCCCCCTTTCACCGCGGCAGCGGCGGCGACTGCTGCTGCTAATTGCAAGCAAGGAACG